ATAGTCTACGTTTCCTCACGTAGATATTATGTCGATTTTATCCTTCGTAAGTATAAACTGGAACATGATCTTATTTTTTCATTGTTGCTAAGCAATATGATATGCCTAGTCCAGTAACAAAAGTTTGGTAAAAGGTTACAATAAAGAATATTATAGGTAATGTCCAAATGTTTAATAATTGAATACTTTTACCAGCCTGTGTGGATCAAATTTACATTGAATTCAGAAGGTCCTGGACTACTCATACATAACCGTCTAATCTTCATAAAACCAACTCATTTTAAGATAGTGACAGATGTAACATTGAGCCTACGTTTAAACTTACAAAAGTCCCTTCCACAAAGTTAGGTGGCACGCTCGAAACAGAGAATATATATATATATATATTTCAACAGTTGCCATTTGAAGCATAAAACCTGTATCGTACAGTAAACCTGTATACGTGATATTTTCAAATCGCTTTGTCTTGAAAATACCTTTTAATTCTAATTTTGGCAAAAGTTGTAGAACACTGGCGCCAGTGGTCCAAACACGTCCTCCCATTTTCGCCATGAAATTTCAACAATTAAACCTCGCTAAACTAGGATATAGGTAAACATCAATAAACTGTTGTATTGGCGCAAAAAATAACAGAGATTTGGATGAATTATGCTCTTATTCAAACATCAGTTTAGGATGTTTTTGAATCTGTATGCTGGAATTGCATGAGTACATGTGCTTGAAATTATGAAACACCCATAAATGGAGGAGAATAGATGTAATGCGAAATTGTTGTCAAAAAGTGTGCTCCATTTTTATTCAGACCATTTAGTTACTTGATTACACAAAAATTTATTCTTAGTGGAAAAAAATATTTTGTAAATATTTTATGTTTGTGACCGAGCAAATACAAAATTGAAAACAAATTCGGTGGGAAACGGAATTGAACGCTCAATTTATATGGGAAACCGTTTATCGGGATGGGGAGTTCCTAGAAACGGCAAGCATTGACAATTAATAAATATGAGTTTGACAAGCTGTTGAGACGACTTACGACACTGAGGCGCCACTTTTCAAGCTTTCCCAAACCACAAATAACACCCACACAACGCCCGTTTGCCTCATGGTAATGTGTAATAAGTGACATCATCTGGGAGTGACATTCAGGTCGGAACTGGCATGGTGATATTGTTTTATCCAAAGCTGCTCATTTTGTTTGTGCATGCCTCTAAAATAAAAGATAAATATAAATATTATTGTTTTACAATAGAAATCAAAGCCGTCAGGTCGACTTGTAAGATTTATAAGAGAGATATAATTATTTAAATAATTTTTTTTGAAATTCGCCATGGTACAAAAAAACAATTACCAAACACACAGGAAGAAAATCACAAAAGTAACCTAAACTTCATATGAAAGAATTTAATCAGCTCAAAACGAGAGATATAAAGGTACTACACAAGTAATCTCCCCTTGTGATATAAAAAATGAGTAAAGAGATATTTTCTTATCAGTTTCCAAGCTTGTGATATCAAACGAATATCAGTATCCTAATATCCTGTTTAATATGAAGATCAAGTTAATTGACCTCTTCTCACCAAGGGTTGTTATTAGGATGGCGATGACCCACCTGACCAAAAAAAAATGTAAAAAAAAATTCATTGCTCAATAATATTGCGTTGGCGGTCACATTCTTCTAACTTAATAGCATGATAAACAGCCGTAAATATCAAGCGTGGGTGAAATAGATTTGAAAAGAAGCTACACGGGATTACACCGATTATAGTTTCAGATTCAAACAATAGCCAGAAAAATCTTGTTTGAGACTATAAGCTTTAAATTCCCTGGGTTCTAATCCACATTACTAAGTATAGTGCAGCAGAAGCGCACAGGTGATTGCGATTCAGCTTTTTTTTACCTACATAATTATATGGAAATGATACAGTCGAATACGCTTCAGAAGCCCCTAACTTCCGTCAAGCGATCATCGAGTAGTAACCTCGACCTTCTTCCACAAATGTAACCTGTTATTAGGTTATCAACCGTAGCGAAGCGTTGTCTAATTTTAGACGGATGAGTAAATGACATAACCTTGGTCATGGCAATTTTCCGGAACATATATTGCAGCATCGTTTGCAGTCGACAAAGCACGCGCAGCTGCGATAATTTGCAACTGAAACATATTCCAACCAAGCACGAAACGCGATAAATTAGTGACTATTTCCTTTTTTATGCAAAGTTTGCAGTCAATATAATAGTTTTTTCGTTTTATGGATATTTTAATTTGAATTTCTGCAAATTATTAGCAAAAGCTTTTCGACAGAAAATCTATCAAGTGGCACTTTTCCCAGTTTCTTTTTTTGGTAGTTGCGTTGGTAGTGTAGAACGGTGGAAGTAATACCCCATGAGTAAAATTAGCCATTTCAAAAACTAACGAAATTCCCTAATTGATATTACATCAATGCGAAGCAGCGATGCATTGTTCTGTACCGCATTTGCACAACTTTGCAAGACAGGCTGCAAGCTTACAATGATCTGTAAAAATATATTATTTTTAGTAGATCCCCGGAAAAGCATCATGAAAACGTAAAGAACTGATACACGTTTACCAAGCCAAGAAAAACAGAAGGGAGCCAACAACCCACATTTTGTGGACCACATGCTACGAGCGATCGGAAATCACAGGGCCCTGTGAATATTGAAGACTCGTTTAGCCATTCATTTTTGCCAAATATATTTGAAAAGCTTGGTTCTCCCTATTTATATTTATGTGTATTTTTTCCACGAATCGTTGAATTAATCTCTACATTTGGAAAATATAGTTTATACTGTTAAGTGTCAAGTGTCTTTCATGTATATTGAATATTAACTATACTTGTATAGTGGAAGTAAATATAATGAGTATTGAGACTAGGGATGGGCATTTCGAATCAAATAGTAAACTATTCGAATCGGTTCGGAGCAAAATTTCGAATCGCCGCCATCTTTTTTTTTACCTTCCGCCAATGGTCGAGGTGCAGTCCTGATTTTTTTTTGATTGAAGCCATATTTATTCAACTCAATTCAGACATATGACTATTTTCTGTAGTGTGGTATTGATAGAACGTGTTTCTTATTGTGTGTGAACGCTCGGCAATCTGTCTGAGTGATGTATTCTATATGTTTTCAGTAAGTCATTTGTTGACAGACCATTACAATAAAAAGTTGCATACAATTATATATCTCCCAAGTATTCGAGATTCGATTCGAAAAAAATATTCGATTCGATTCGGAAATCATCAGGTATTCGAAAATGCTTTAATTGAGAATAAGTCTAGTAGCGGTTGCATGGTTTTATATTTCGGTCATTTTCTGAATAATAGAAATGACAGCGAATATAATACGTTATATCCTAGGTGAAATCAGGTTTTCTAATTTATTCGAGATGAATAAGCTGGGATACTATTACTAACACACCAATATAAAAAAATTCACAAACACAAACAAATTGAATAAAAGAAAAAACTTAAATGTGAAATATAATACATTCTCCACAAACTTTTGGTTGTTGCATAAAAAGATAAAAACATGGAGTTCATTCAAAGTTTGTGACACGTACATCCACGATGTAATTATATGCTGTAACCCATTCCGCTATTCCCCCCTTAATAGTCGATGATTCATAATCAGAAATTTATATGTCTCGAGATATTTCCATCTCTTCATACATGGACAATGAAGCACCGAGCTTATTAACTCGATTTGCCGTTGGCTTTCGCATGATCGACATTGTTGAGTGATTCCGAAAATAGACTATCGTTTTAACTTGACGCTCCAA